CACCACGACTACTGCTACTACTACTACTACTACTACTATGACTACTATGACTACTATGACTACTATGACGACTACGACTACGACGACGACGACGACGACGACGACGACGACTACGACTACGACGACTACTACGACTACTACGACTACTACGACTACTGCTACTGCTACTCCTACCGCTACTGCTACTGCTGCTGCTACTACTACTACTACTACCACCACCACCAGGACTACTACTACGACGACGACTACTACTACCACTACTCCTCTACTATGCCTCCTCCTGCTGCTGCTGAGCTGCTGCTGCCACCTCTACCACTACTACGACGACTACTCTACTGCGACTACTACAAGGCAGCCGTACAAGATCGTGGATCTCGGGCCGGCGGGCAGCAAAACAGCGACTTGGCCTGGCTTCCTAGTAGTAGCAGGTGTAGCAGATACTCCTCGACGAGACTGATCCAAACACCACCCAGGTGAAGATTGATCCGCCTGCGGCGGCAGACTACTGGGGAGGTTGGCGACCGATTCACCACGCTTCCGGTCGATCTTCCTCAGATGCCTGGTCGCCAATTGGAGAGCTCGACTAGTTTCTACTGTATTAGGTTTGGCTTTGCAGCTGAATGGACGCCACAAAGGCCTGAGGGTCCTTCTGGGTTGTCTGGGCTTTGTCATTAGCTCCATCCGATCTCTGAACATTGATGCTGCTAGCTTTCGAGCTATAGTATATAGCTATAGAAATTAAGTTGCAACACGACCCCTAGGATGTGACGTTGAAGGATTGATCGCCCGCTGCAACAGTGGTCGTCCCCGGTTCGAGTTGTATTCCTGTCTTTGCATCTTGCGTTGGGCTCCAGGCCCCAGGGAGCTGCGATGAAGTCTCGAGTTTTCTAGCAGAAAGAGCACCACCAATCAGCCAACTGCTTCAACTGATCCATCCTCGGCAGGGACCAGTGTGTTTCAGCATGCTACTACAGCTGTGTCATCACGGAACTTTCAGCCGACGCCTTGAATCCAAGGACTTCAACAAAAGCTTCGAGCTCGCAGCTGAAGTCGTCAACTTGCAGAGATCTGTGGTCATCACCGGGCCGCCCAACTGGGACACGGCCGAGTCTCGGATTTCCACTGAGTCGGGTTTCGCGCTCGGGGCTCGGGGGCTCAGGGACACGTGGGTTTAAGGCTGGAGCTACAACTTCGGATCTTCAAGCTTCGGGATCGGAGCTTTGCTTAAACCTGGTGAGAAGTTTGAGGAACCGATGACCTGATAGCCTGCCAGACCCGAGTGCTTAGTTTGGTCCTTTGCGATGAGAAACTCCATCAGGGCTGTTGACGTTTGACTGCCGTGGTGGATTAAGGTGTGAGTTTTGCCTTGGGTTGGGATTCTCAAGCTGGGACTGGGATGTGGCAATCAGTCTTGGGATGGTCTTTGCGAAAGATCGGCGTGGGAGAGCTTTCCTGTGCATGTGCAGCTTAGGCGGGTATGATCGAGGGTTCAGGGTTTGCTTCCCTTGTTCTTCTCTAAGAGCTGGCATGGTCATGATCTTGACAAGAACCGAAGGATGAAACCATGCTTGGTAACTACCAATACCCTGATGCCATATGTTATCCCTGAGCCCTGACTTTCAAAGCCGAAACCATGACACGCAACATGTTGCCAGCCAAGGGCGTGTTCCCAAGGTTGCAAGCTTGCAGGCCCTTGGCTACTGAAATCTGCTTTGTCTCAAAGCTTGAAGCTAGTCGCTTGAAGCTGGTCGGCTGCCAGCAGACGTCATGTCCCAATGTTGTTCACCCCGCCACGTTTCCTGGCTAAGGCTTATAGTGTCAATAGAAAAGTTAAGTAAGCAAAACTTGCACCATCCCATGCCGGAGCCGTCATGGCGCTGCTCATTGTTAGGGCTTCTATGCAAGGCTTAGGGAGATCCGCTTGAGTCCCGGTACTTGAAAGCAAGCCCCACCAACTGTAAAGTCAAAGGCCGATATGGAACACAAACAAGCCGTGGCACAACACCCGAGCGTCTACAGAGTCTACACCTCAAAGCCATGAGTTTAAGTTTAAGCCGTTTAAGCCAATCACACATCACATACCAATGCCAAGGATTGGAAGGGGCTTCATACCCTGATGACTGGCCATGGTTTCATGGACGCTCGCTACGTCCGCGTGGAGAACTGTGGCCAGCCACCGCATCAGGGGCAGCCTGGCCAAAGCAGTTGGGGTCTCGGGATTAGCGTTTGGGATGTTGGTTCCGAGGCTCGGGAGCACCCGCGAAACCTATCGCCCCGGCACCAGTGGCAAAAACAACTGCAGCAAAACAAAAACTTCTTACTCACAACCCTGAACCGTACGACACCTCAAACCGCGTCGGCCCGCTGCTCTAAGAGGCGGAGTCAAGCCTAGGGGACTGGCGTGAGCCTCTTCCTGCAAAGTGTTCACGGTTGAAGAAGTAAGCCCTGAACCCAAAGCTAATGTCCAAGCCTTCAGGGTTGCACCTGAGGCCAGTAGGTTTGTAATTCGGCACTAAAGCGCTACTTGCTCGAAGCACTACGAACCACAACCAAAGCCGGGTCTAGAGCCTTGAAAATTCCAATTTCAAGGAGATATTGCCTACACTTCCACTTGATGCACCGCTGTCCCCGCTGTGTTCTCCACGGCAACGCCGTGGTCAACTCCACCCAGGCAAAGGAGAAGAGCTTTGCCTTTCAGCTTTTCGGCAATTTGAGGGCATTGCGCTTGTTCTGTTCTGACGACCAGCCAGCCTATTGCCTCGTTTTGAGTAGGTGTTGAGAGCTCAAGCCTTCAATGAGCTTCTGTGTAGCTGTCTCAGAGCACTCCCAAGATGTTATTTTTAAGCTCGAAGCAGACTCCGAAAGCAGCTGATAGCATTTCATGCGGACAAAGAGCCAGAATGGGCTCAAGGGAATGCAGCTACGGCGACGAATGTGCACAAAAGCTCACGTCAGCCAGATGAGAGTTTCTCTTGGCCTCCTCGCATCCTAAACCCAACTCCGAACAAACCCCCATGGTTACCCTAACCATCCGTAATGAGAAGAGCTCTGGAACCCGAAGATGTCTCCCTCTGCCCTGAAAGGTCGGCATCACGGTGCACGGCACGCACCAAGCCAGGGTGTCCAGCAACATCCTCTGGAACACCATGTCTGCCGGCGTGTATGTGGAGGACATAGGGTGTATAGCTGAACATAGCTAGACACAGTCAAATCGTAGCTCTTAAATTCAAGAACTTACACCCCACATCCAGAACTCTACGCCTCGCTTCTCAGCCTCTGTCGGATGGGTTTAACCCTGAAGCCTATGTCGGACCCCGAATGCCTCCCTCGAGGATGGCAACGAGATGAACAATACCTTCGAGGAGAATGTCTTGATATGCATGCACCAGGTGCTCGTACCCTTAAGCTTGTCACCGGGGCTACTTGCCTTCCGCTCGCTTCCGAACTGTCGGCTATTAGTTTCTCATACTTACAAACTACTCACCTTCAACCCGAACTGAATGGACCCCTGCCAAGTTGCAATCCTTGCTGAAGTCTGGTCAGGACCCGAATGGGTCGGACCTGTTTGGAGGTAGCGCGTTTTACGACGTTACCCGTGTCTTCGGCAATTGACGCCGGTTGTACAAGAGGTGCCGGTGATGGTCGTCGTTGAAGCTGTCTCACGTTTTTGCCGTCGTCGTTGTCGTCTTTTTCGTCGTTGTGTTCGCGGTAGTGTTAGTGGTGTCACGGCACCGGCATTGGTAGATTCTACCAGGTAGAAACGATGCTAGTGCCAGGTGCCGCCGATCAACCCCCTGCCCTGCAACAAGGGTGACACGGGCATCTGCCCCGAAGCTCGACGGGGCTGCACCTACGATATGTTCAACCAGGCCCGACTCATTAGCAGCAGTGATCGATCCGTCTTGCCTGAATCAAGCCCTCAGGAACGATGGGAAAGCAAATCAAAGTGATGCTGACTACGTCCAGCACCACCACCACCACCCACCACCACCAACCACCCACCACCCACCATCCCACCAACCACGCCGAAACCCAAACCTGACGGGCACTCCTATTCTGAAACCGTGAACCCCCACACCCCATCGCCACCCATCCCAAGCTGCAGACATCATACGTTTTCTGTCAAGATAGAAGACCCCATGAATAAACTGTTGATTATCCCTTAGCAAAAAGAGTATACAATACATTTTCTTCTTAGCACAAAGAGTATGTGTATATGTATACATGTGATATGTATGTGTATATGTCCATGCGTATGTGTGTATATATATAT